GCTACCTATCTTCCAGGCACAGGGTCTTGGCACTTAACTCTCCAAATTGCCTGGTGGACTCTTCCCTAAAAACCTTCACAAAGCTGGTTCCCTCTGATCATTGACATTTCCCCTATCCACCCTTTACTGCCGAAATGCCTCCCCTGGCTACACTGTCAAAAGTATCCCAAATTACTCTCTAGCTAAACTCAATTTAATTTTCTTCAAAAAATTTTATAATATCTAAAATTAATGTTACATATTTTCTGATTCTAATTTTTTTATTTATCATTTATTCCATGCTCTGTGAGCTGCTTGAAAGCAGAGACCATGTCTGTCTAATAGAAAAAAAAGGTGTTCAATAAGCATATTTGAATGAATGAGAGTCACATAGCCACTACTGTGGTTAGTCCCACAATCTGAGCAAGATAAATTTTTAAACATAGCTTGGACCACAGCCCCTAGTTGCCCCACACCCCCACACCCCCCACAGTCTGTCTCCTCCTTGTCCAGTTAATCTTAACTCCTACCTGCTTAGACATTTACCCTAAATAATAGTTCCCATCTTGCCAATTACTTCTTTAAAACTCTTTAATACCTACCCATTGACTAACAAGTTAGATACAAACTTATCTGGGCACTCACTATTATTCTCTGATTCTACCCTATCTCTTTGCAGAAAAATAAATTTCCTCTTATACAAATTTTGAGAAATAATTCTATTAACACTAGGTTACCAAAAAATGTACAGGAATTTCCATATATCCTTCCTCCAGTCCCTCCTCTACAGCTCTTGTGCAACCAAGAATCTGATACAATCTACAGAACTAATACATATTTCATTAGTAATACTTATACTCATGCAAGAGAGTGTGTGTACACATAAGCACGCAGGTTTGTGCGTGCAATTTTACACCATTGTACCATATGTGTAGATGTGGGTGATTACTGCCAGAATCAAGATACTCAACTGTACCATCAACACAAAACTCCCTGTCACCCCATTATAGCCTTACTAATCCCCCTGCATCCCTACCCCTTAGTACTACAAATCTGTTCTTCATATTTATAATTGTTTCACAAATGTTACTTAAATGCAATTCTTTATTTTTATTTATGAGTTGTAAATCCATGGTATGGGCATACCACAGTTTATTTAACCAGTCAGACACTGAAAGGCACTACAGTATTCCCAGTTTGGGGTTAACACAAATAAAATTTCTATGAATATTCATGTTCAAATTCCTGCATGAAAATAAGCCTTAACTTTTCTAGGCTAAATTTCCAAGAGTGCAATTAATTTAGTAGCCTCTTACTAGCATCTTACTTTAGTAGCTTTCATTTACCCAAAATTCCATTCATGTTCCCTATATTATAGTCAAACAGTATTACTTCCTCTCTGATATCTAATCCTCTTACTATCATTGGTGTATTTACTGTGGTATATTTTTGAAAGTGTATGAAGAAATCCATATAGACAGAAAATAGAGAAGAGTAAATGGAAGGAAAAAAATAAGAGATAAAAGAGTATTTTATCAATCCTGTCCCAATAAAATGTGATCTTTCCGATAAGCCTTCATCTTATTTGCTAAACTTCTCTTGTGAAATCTGTCCTTCCTGTCTCACAGATGCATAATTACCCAGCATTTCCATTAAAACAGTAAATTCCCTTGAGACACAGATCATTTCTTAATAATTTTATATTTACTTAGGCATCAAGCACAACCTTTCTGTTAGAGCAGGAGCCCAAACAAGAGAGTCACTGAATAAATGAAGTATCTCTGCCCAAAAAGGGCTCAGGTCTAACCAGCAAACAGGATATTATATTTGCATGAAGAAGACAGTAAGATAAATCTAAAGAGGCTCAACACCAAAGAAAAACATAAGCAAGGAGTGTTACCAAAGTTCAGACAAGTGACCAATACCTTCTAGGACAGTCGGGGATATTTCCTAAGGAAGACTATGTTTGAAGAAAACTTTGAACAGCAAAGGAGAACTCAAAATATAGAAAAATCATAGTCATTATTCTTTGTAATCACTGGATGGTATTCTATAGTATGGATATGCCCTATTTAACCATTCTCCTATTGATAGACATTTAGGTTTGCATCAATTAGGATTAAATTTGGATGCAAGTTACCAGGAGGGGGGGAGGGGAAGGAAAGAGTTTTATAAACACAAGCTTTCTCTCTTGTGTGAAAGAAGCCCAATTCCATGGTCTTCCAATACCACACTCCATTTTCCAGCTCTATCATCCCAGCACATGGCTTCCATTTCCAAGATTATTTCATGAGCCTACTCAACACTTCTGTTACAGAAAACTAGAAGGGAAGAGAAAGAACAAAATGGTCCACCTCTCATCTAAGACAGCTCCCTTTCTGAAGCCTTCCAAAAGTTTCATATAATACTTCCAGTTCTATCGCAGTGGCCAGAACTTAGTTATAACGCCCATGCCTAGCTGCAAGAGAAGCTGAAAAAAATGCGGTGTCCCAAATAAATTTAAGATTGTAACTAAAAAAGGATAATGGATGTTGAGTAGCAACCAGCAATGAAAGAACAAAACTGAAATCTTGCCAACCAATAAGTAAGCACACATGTCATCTTCTAAAGGCAGGAAGAAAAAAGAAGAAGCACTTTACAACTGACCCTGAAATAAACAAACAAGAAAAAAAAAGGAAAAACATTCCATCTCTTTTTAGTACCCAAAACAAAAGAAACCTTAATCCTATTTATATAAGTTACTGAAGTTACTGACTCCCTAACAAAACAAACTTTTTCCCTGAAGTTTGCAACATTATAATTATCATGTGTGATTTTTCACCATGAACAGATTAACCTTGTGGATTTTTACTTTATATATCTGTTGTATTTTTTAATCAGCAAGCCAGTCCTGAATTTGGATCCTCTTGCAGAATTCTGAGAGCCAATGGATTCTTTTTCTTAATATCTCTGTGCCTTGAGTCTTCTGTTCACAGCCTTCTCAGCCACAAGATTATTTCTAGTTTCTCACTATTATAAATCACACTGTAGTAAATAACTTATAAATGCCTCCATGTACATACACATAGTGGCAATTTCTCAAACATAAATATCTAAATAAAGGACTTTCTAGGATAAACAATATATTTGTTTTAAATATATTTGATCAAATTGCTATCTAAGAAGCTGTTTCAGCTTATACTCCCACCTATTATATGAACATCCCTGATTAGCTTATCATTTTTATTTTTAGCAAATATATAAAGCAAAATAACTGCCTTGTTTTTCCACTTCCTATTTCCACTTCCTATTTCTGATCTAATTAGTAATTATAGTCTCTCTAGGTCGAGCAGCTTTTTTATGTCTGTCATTTGTATTAATTCTTTGAAGTGTTGTTTATTTTCAATTCATTTAAATAGACTTTTTACTGATTTTTAGTTCTTTATATATTCTGGACATTAATCTTTCTGTATTCACATTATTTCTCAACTTTTTTACATTTTTATGATATCTTACCTTAGCTTATCAGTCACTTTTTTTTAAATCAGTCATTTTTTTTTGACTTCTGTGGTTTTTGTCTTGTGTAGAAAGACCTTCCTACCCAAAAATTATAAACATATTGTCTCTAATACTGGTAGGGTTTGCTTGTTATATTTAAAGCATATGGATTAATTTTTATATATGGTACTAGGTAAAGATTTCTCTAGGTATTTTGCAAAAGAGATAATCAATTGTCCCAACACTATGTACCCAATGGTCTATTAACTCCCATATTTAAAAGCTATATTTACCATTTGTTAATTACACATAATTAACCCTGTTTCTAGACTTCTTCTGTTCTACAGATCTATTTGTCCATATGTGCACCAATCCTACAAAGTTTTAATTACCAACAGAAAAAAATTATAGTATGTTTTGATGTCTGGTAAATCAAACTCCTCCCTTTTATAGTTTAAAAATGTTAGCCGTGTTCATAAACTTTCTTCCAGATGAATTTTCAAATCAATTTATTAAATTCCACAAAATCCTATGGGGATTTTTGATCGGAATTGCCTCACATTTGTAGATTAGAGATTTCTTGTTCTTTTTAAGAGCACCTGCATATTTTCAAAGTTAGCATATATTTACCAAGGACTTACTGTGATGAGTTGATGCCTGTGGGAAATTCAAAAGATTTTAGATAGTCCTTAACCTACAGAAATGCACAGTTGATTGAGGAGGAGGAGTTCATGAGGAAATAGAGTGCATTAAATCACAAGTATCTGTGGAATAAACTTGTGGCTCACTTGTGGTCACTACAATACGTTTTTTGAGGTTTGTTTATGACCCTGATTTTACCTGTTCTTGTTTTTTCTTTGACCTTTTTTTTTTCTTTTTCAACACCTGACAATATTGTGTTTATACACATGATCAATTTGATTTTTTACAATCACCCCTTAGAAGTTTCTATTATCACCCCATCTTATAAATAAGAAAACTGAAGCCCAAAGAGATGAAGTAGCTTTCCCAAAGTCACAGAGCAAGTAGATGGAGGACAGGTAGAATTTAAAACCAAGTTTCCCTGATTTGGGACATCACAGTGCCTCCTCTTATTCCTTCCCCATTTTAAATTCCTGCTACTTTGTCAAGTGCAAAAATCATCTCTGAAATTAGAACAGGGAATGAATAAATGAATAAGACCCAGCTGTGTTTCCTGTTTCATCCTCTCCACATATGCCCACTTTAGTAAAAGTACATGTGAAGAATATAAGGATGTGTCCCCTACCTTCACCCCAATGCGGCCCAGAGGGACCTGTCAAAATTCCTTTGCTTCCTTTTCTTCAAGCTAAGAACAGGATCCACTACATAGTTTACAAAATGAAAAATGAAAATGTGGGGACCCTGCTCAAAAAGTATTAATTTCAAGAGGTAAGAGCAGATGATTAAACAAAACACGGTCCCTTGTAAGTGGGGCTGGGGATGGGGACCCTTGGATCTTGCTCCCTTGAGGCAAGCCTGGGCTGTATTTCTCGTTTTCCTAACCTGGGTCTCTGGCTTCGCAGATTCACAGCCCTGCTCTGATGAAGAAGGTTGCTCGGAAGTCTTCCTCCCCACCGACAGCGACTACGACTCCAGTGATGCTCTGAGTCCCCGAGACCTGGACCTGGTCTACCTGTCATCACATGACATCGCCCAGCAGGCACTAAGCGGCCTAAGCGGCAGTGCCCCTGACGTTCTGCAGGTAAACGACATGAAGAGTCCTTTGGGACCCAGCCAGGACACCCAGGCCCGCGTCCAAGGACAGGATTCCGACCATTCTTGCGCTGAGTTCCTCCACAGTTTGTCCCTCACCGGCTTCCTGCCCAAGAACCACGCCAAGATGGCGCCGAGTGCACGGCAGCCGCTGGGATTCCTGGGAAAGCGAAAGCCCGCCAAGCACCTGCACTATGGAGGCTTCAGCCGCCACCACCGCTGGCTTCGCATGCACAGTGAGACGCAGTCGCTGTCGCTGTCCGAGGGCGTTTACACGCAGCACCTGTCTCGAGCCTGTGGCCTGGTGCAGGAGCCTGGGGAGACCACCAAGCAGCTTGGACCTACCCCAGATGCACCCCGGGGTCTGTCTCTGGCCCACTCCACCAGCCTCCCTGAGGAGCGGAAGAGCAGCCTCCAAGACCCAAGGCCTTTGGTCCGCAGCATCTACATGGAGCCCTACTCCGAGGCCATGGTTGATGCTAAGTCTTGGACTGCAGTGAGCCCGCCCCCTGGTGCTGCCCTGCCCAGCCCCACTGGGCCAGAAATGAGCCCAGAGAGCCCGACCACCTCCCAGGTGTCAGAAATACTCAGCAGCATGCTTTAGACATGCCCACACCACTCTCCACCACTCCACCTCAAGTCCCTGCATTTACCATTATCCTAGGCCCAGCTTGCTCCTTTTATGTCCCCATCCATTTTCAAACAGTTTCAAAGGTACAGATCAATGGTCACAGGTTCAAGACCCTCCTTTTTAGGACAGAGTTGGAGAAATAAGCATTGCTAGCGTCATTCCCAGTTCAGCCTAGGAAGGGCATATAGTAGCTTTGTGTCAACATGAAGCCCTGGATACAAAGGTTCAAACATGCCATACTGTTGGGGGCACCTAAGACTGAGATAGAGTAGCCAAAAGAATTACTGTCAATTCTGCAGCTGGCTCTGTCATCTGGCCTCTGGGTTTAGGGCCCTTTTGTACATTTGTGGTTGATGAGAAAGAATTTGATCAATGAAAATAAGATTAAAAGTTTTTTCTCCATCTGAACTTCCAGGAGAGTTTTGGGGAAAGAGGCCCAGGTTATGTCTCTAGGGCATAGTAGCAAGTGGACTTGTCCTTGGTTCCCTGTGAACTAAACCAAGTCATTTCAAAGTGCAAGGATCTCGTGGTCTCACCGAATCCAGTTTATCGATCCGCACTGATATGACTAAGTGGGCCTTGGACAGGCCTTTTCTTCACTTAGTGCTATAAGGAAGCCACCAGAAAATAAAAGTAAAGGACCTTCCCTTCTAGCTCCATCTTGCAAAGATAAAATAGGGCAGGAAGCAATCCATTCTGCACACTCAGCTCCCATTCAATCATGAAAATAGGCTGTAAATTCTTGCAGGGTACAAAAAAGATAGCTGAATTAAGTAAGAGCTTTGATTACAGACAAGGAGAGGAAAGACATAAGCAAAAATGTATTTGTTTTACAATCCTAAAATAAGCAAATTCAAATTCAAATAAACAAGAAAATGCCTTTCAGCTATGGACACGCAGTGATACAGTCCTTACCACATAGGCACATTGCTCACCTCACATCACAGGTCATGGAGGTTGTCTGGACTTGGGCTGCTGCATTCCCCTTTTCAATCTATCGCTCCCAAAGTTAGTTTTGCCCCCAAATCAGCTGGCCTACTGGCCTCAAGGAAAATCTTTAGGAGGCCCTACCAGTGGTTGGAAGGCTGTACTAAGACACCAGAAAACCCTGCTTTGGTCTCATTGCCTCCCCCTTCCTATCTCACAAACGAGAAAGCCAAATTCGGAGAAAAAAAATCACACTGAATATTGAAAAAAGAAGAGTCTTCATTCATTTCCAGAAGTCAAAAACCATTCAATTCACTGATATTCTAAATTATCCTTTTCTGCTTCATATATATTTCAAATATTGCACCTTATACTCTTATCCTGTCTTCACAGTTCTACCATTTCCTCCTCACAGGAGTTCATACAAAGTCCTTTGTCACAATGTTATTCAGTCTTTCCATTTTTTAAAACATTTAATTTAAACATAAATAATTATCCTGGTGGAAAGGTAGAGATTTGGCCCATGGCCTATGGTCATTAGAAAACTAAAGTCCAGAGCTCAGTCTTTATTTTTTAAGGGATTTTATACTCATGGAAACACACACACACACACACGTAGCCCAAGGATCTTGATCAGAATCACTGAAGCTCTTTTTTCATACCTGGGAGGATTTTTTAAAACAGTTTTCTTCTGTTCTGAGTGAATTCTATATGTGTGGAGTGTTAGAGCTAGAAGGAACCATAAAATTAATATAAATTCTTGAGTTTACAGAGGCGGCCCAGAGAGGTTAAGTGACTTGCTGAAGGTCACAGAGCTACTTTAATCTCCAAGGTAGTATCAGGAACCAGAACCATTTCCCTAATAACAGACTGTCCCAGTGGGAATTGGTACAAATGGGAATCTACCCAATTTTTGATTGTCTGTAGACTACATGTATATTGTACATTCATCTATTACTTCTAACTCCAAATTCAACTTCTTTTCTCAACCTTTACCTAACAAATTTCCAATATCACAGAGCTCCTTATGGCCAGGGAATACAAATTTTATGTAATAAACATCTAAGCTAAATTAATTAATGAAAAAAGAAATTTTGGAGAAATCTCACTTAAAATTATGTACCTACCATATGACTCCAATTGATAACAGGAGTGATCATCATCTACACTCATTTTTGACTTATTTCTAATTATAAGACAAATTATATATGTTGAGTGGGTTTGCGAGATAAGATGCTGGAATTGTCAGGAACTAAGCCAAGCAATTCTCTGGTCATGGTCTTTCTGGTAGCTTGGAAGCAAGTGTGTGGCCATGAATTAGATGGGAGGTAATCAACAAGTAGCAAAAGCAGAGATTGACCCACCCTTCTGACCCTTATTTGGCCAGAAAGTTCTGGCACACTAGACCAAATAACAGGGTCAAGTGGACGTATCCTTGGTTCCCTGTCAACTAAACCAAGTTATTTCCAAAGTGCAGGGTTCTCATTAGCTCACCAAATCCAATTTATCCATCAGCACTGATCTGATTAAGTGGACTTTGGACAGGCCTTTTCTTCACTTAGTGCCTCATGGAGTAAAATGCTTTAAATTCAAACCCACAAATTATATTGAGGACACAGGGTTATTTTTTCACCTTCTATGAAGAAATTTATATTGGGGAAACCTTCCATTGCCCATGAAATGAATGATGCACATTCACTATCAATGGAGATATTTAATCTACTTGAAATGCATTTTCCTAGCAATATTCCTATATGAAGGTAGATATATCCTCAATGATTACTATTTGTTCAAGAAGGTTTTCTCAATCCCTGCCTCCACTTTGCAACATTTTGTGAACCTAGTGCAAATTAATACATTCTTGTAAGAGACATTTGTTCTCTAACTTACAATCTTTCATTCAGTTTGGTCAGTCTTCTGATTGTAGAGACTTTACAACATCTGAGGGTTTTTTCTTTGATTGTTTTGTTTTACTGGTTTGGTTTAGTTTGGGATATGATGGACTTTGGTCTTTCATTCTTTTAAAAGTCAGTCTGGGTGCCTCTGGTGGAAACTTTCTGGTCCGAGATCTTCCTTGCCACAGTTTTTCTAACTTGCCTAAGTCTCATCATTTTAGCTCTCATCATTTGTGAAAACCCTCCAGTATCATTAACTAAGGTCCTCTCAAATGTCTGTCTCTAGGTGAATTCCCACAGAGAACAGAAGAATTAGGTATGAGGGCCTCCCCGGGTGCAGCGGTTGAGCGCTGGGTTGCGAAGCTGCCTGCAGCCTCTGCAACGCCGGTTCAATCCCCGGCCACCAGGTGAGGGTCCCACATGGCGTGCAGACCTCTCCTGCTGCCCGCTGCTCCCCTCAGCAGTGTATTTCATCAGTCTGTCTGTTCTGCTCTCTGCTCTGGCTCTGGTGAATTCTCTCCCGTGCTTCTGACTTACCCAGTGCTATAAATAAATAAATAAATCTTTAAAAAAAAAAAAAAAAAAAAAGAATTAGGTATGCAACCCAGTCCTGGGTCACAAGAACCTTACAGTCTGATGTTAGTATAGCCATCATCATCATACATTTTACCATCAAAGTCTTAGAAAAGGTAGGGCCCTGTCTCCTCAGGTAGACTGACATAGCACATGTTGGCTTAGATATTCTGATTTCACTCTTGCTGTCTGTGCAAGTCAGGACAGCCTGGAAAATACCCATCACTGCTGAATATGCTTGGCAACCATTTGCAAGGCTATCACATCTTCTTAATTGGTGAGGGCACCTGGGAAAGAATAATTAAAAACCCTCACTCTAGGGAATTGGTATCATAAGAAGTGGGTACTTAAAGATGAGACTTATTCCGTTTTTAAGACCATTTGCTAATGCTAGAAGCAATAATTACGCTGAGGAAAATGGTTCCATTTGGTTTGAAAGTTGAAGCCAGTTAGTAATAATATTCTACCAGCCCCCTTTCCTGAAGGATCCCAAAGCACTTTATTAAAAGCAATGACTGAAGCCTTGTTGTACTCCCCTAAAAAGACCTTGTCCAGGAGCCACCTGGCAAACACCAACCCCATCCTTGCCAGGAGATCGTGCCAGACAAGTGGAAAAGAGGACTGGCCTCTCATTCATTGTTATCCTGCCACACGAGCATGTGCCTTGGTGAGTGTTGAGTTCTTCCCTGAAGACAATTTTAGACAAGGAATCACACCAGAAAATCCCAACCCCTTGGCCGCCTCTTATTCTTCATGTTCCATGCAAGATGGGCTCACTTTGTCCTGGAGAGCTAGTAACTCAAGCCGTGAAAGGGTCTGCAGTACATCTAAGTTCCAGAGTTATGCCAACAGCACACAGAATTCACTGGCTTCTTAAAATTGATAACTGTAGAAAGATGATGCCATTATTCTACAGCTCTCCCAAGTGCGTGGTCACAGAACTACCACAGGCAGTGTGCATCTCTTGGTATATTTGTTTATTAAACTATAACATTCAATTAGGGTAGTTATAGTTTAAAAATAAAACGCTGTCAGTGAGTTGAAAGTGCTGCATTGTCACTTTATTAAGTCTAAATATCTTTCCAGATGATTCAGTGAAGCAAATCTGAACCCTTTTTCCCTTGTCATACCTTAAAGGAGATTTTTAAAGGAGTTATTTGGGAAGCGATGTCATACCTCTTCACAGGTAGTCACGTGAACAAGGGAAAAGCTTGTTTCTTTGCTGGTCACCTCTCATAAGATGTTCAAACACATGGCTTATGACTGTTAAGCTCAACTTCAGTGCGGCCTTACAAACAACAAGGGCAGTGTATTTGAGACTATGTTGTACAGCTTGGAAACTTATTCTAAGATCTTAATTCAGAGTTTTTCTGAGGTGTTGAACTTTGCCATTAGCAACAAGTATTTTTAGAAAAATCCATTGACTGTTTATGAAGCACTGATTTTGCCATATTTCAGGTCTCTGGTTTTTCCACCACATCTGCACACAGTAGTTATATGTTGTGTGTTTTTTTTTTCAATTATTTCTTCTATTGCCATTAATAATGAATTTGTAAAATAGTTACCCAAAAGGACCTTTGGTTTTGTTTAACAATCGGATAGGTAGATTGAAAGTATTCTCCTTTGATAAAGGAAGTAGGAGGCTTGTTGTTATTGCTTTAATTATCCTGGGGTCCCTTCAGATATATACAGCTTTTTATTTTTGCAAAAGCCAATATTCAGTTTAGTGGCCATTGTTATAAAGCTCTTCATCTCATCACTTCTCTTCCTTCAGTCTCTGACCTGAAAATCTGAATATGCTTTAAGAGTAATCACCATCCAGTAGCTGATTTAGTAAAGCCAAGTCTGGCAAACTGTTGTGTTAAGTCACTCTGAATTGCTGTGTTGCTTCTTACCCTGTGACAAGCCAGATGTTTGGGAATATCCCATGAATGTGACCACAAGCATCAGTTTAATGTTTGTGATGAAAAAAAGAATT